TGTCTCCCTATTATAACAATTATCATGAATCTACTGACAGCTGTATGCCAAGGTTTTTTTGGTGAGTGAGGTGCAGTAAAGGTTGACTTCTGAAAACATAAAACAAAATGCCAATGGTTTCTACATGTGTTGTATATGAGGGAGAAAAGGATGCTGAGCTAAAACATATACTCCAACATTTCACAGATAAAGAAAGCCAGAATTTGGTTTAGATGGCCAAAGTTACAAAGGAAGAAAAACCACACAATTTAGGAGAAGTTGCAGCCATTTGTTTTTGCCTGAACTGCTGGGAATGGGAATATTCTTCATCTTCCTCTCCTTTTCCCCAGCTGAGATAACAGTCCAAACTCCCTTTTCATTTTATGTCAGTTTGCAGCAAGTTAAGTTAACTGAGGAGAAAGGGGGAAAGTGGGAGGAGGAAAGAAAAACTGGGGCGTTTTAAAAGCAGCTGAAAAAGCACAGGATCCATTAAGAAATATAACTCATTGAATGACCTTGGGACCGTGGACACCAGAACAGGGTTTGAGTACTATGCAAGATTGCGCTAGAGGTTTTAGAGCTAGAACTCCTAGACCAAAAGGATAACTACAGAGGCAAAGATGTGGACTTAACTGTTAGTCTCAATGATGCTAAAAGATCCCTTCCCATACCAATCCAAACTAACTCAGCTATTATTTTGAATCCTTAATTATGGCTGCATAGGACAGATACAAGGTGTGGGATGTTTCAGGTTTGAACTACAGACCATGCCACAAAATGCAATGGCTAACACTGCCCCCCCCCCCCCCCCGCAAAAAAACTATAGAAGCCATAACCCACCAATTATCTGTTGAATGTATGTATCTATGACGCATGTCTTTCACAATTACATTGCACATTTTTTTGCAGTGACTACTGCCAAAACCCCAGCTGTGCATAATATCTGAAGTCCCATTCATTTCAATACCTCCTTTTTGCATAATGTTATCACTTTCATGAATCCAAAGATACTATTCATTAAAAATGGTGAGTCAGAGAGAATCTACCACTCAACTCTAACTTGCAGTTCTTTCTCACTTGACTTTGGCTTTGTGGGAGGGTCAATGGTTTGAAGATCCACCAGTTTGGGAGTGGTAAATCATCCCTGGATTTTGCTTTTGTTCCTTTTACAGGTGTTCCAGCATGAATAGATGTGAGGAAAGAGGTGGTAAAATCAAGAGTGGATGCACTACTCCAACATTGAATCCACTGGCTTTCCCTGGCAGGAAACTATTTTCAACAACTTAGACACTGAAATCTAATGTCCTTAGTAAATCTTTGTTTACTAATCCTGGTTAGGTACTAGAGAAGTGGTTCTCAACCTGTGGGTCCCTAAATGTTTTGGTCTTCAACAGCTGGTAAATTGGCTGGGATTTCTGGAAGTTGTAGGCCAAAACACCTGGGGACCCACAGGTTGAGAACAAGTGATCTAGAGAGACTCCTGAGAAGACAGACAAGCAAAAGTAGATAAACAGAGAGTGTGAAACAGCTACCCACGAAGTTTCATACAAAAGACTTAAAGGGTATTGGTTCTGAAGATGGCTCACACATGGAAATATTTTCTGCACATTTTCTGAGCATACATTCAAGCACACCAATTTCTCTTCACACATAAATCTATCAAAATTTCCCAGGTCAGCAATAGGTAGCCATTTTAATGCAGATTTCCAGATAGTATCCTTGGTTTATAAAGGATAAACTAACTGCTGTCTACTAATTGCTGACACTAATAATACTGTAGTGCTGAAAGCACAAAGTCCCACTGCCAACCAATTATGCAAACACTTATTCGTCAAATGTGGTCATGTTTACATTTTATATAACATTTTCTTTTAAAAAATGATTTTTCTGAGAAACTTCCTGACATCCTTTTGTTATCTATAAAATACTTCCAAGTCACCATATTTAAATACATGAAAAAAAATCCATCAGAGGCAAAAAAGATAAACTTCCTTAAAAGGGGAGCTATTCAAAAAAAAAAACTTTCACTGTTTCAAACATCCGATTTTCTCCTCTGCATGTGTTTCATGTTTTAAAAAACCTTTTGTTTTTTATTAATACTATGCTGATCTTGTATCAGTGACAATCTCAGCTACCCACGAGCAATAATTTGACATTTTTAGCCTTCATGCTGGGAAACCGCATGCCTTAATCTTGTTTCAAAGGGCCATTGACTCATACAACCAAGGTGGATTAACATCTATGTTCTACATCACAAAAGATAGTTATTTGCCTCTTGATATCAAATATCCCAGGTGAATCCAGATCTTCCATCCCATTTAAGATTCAAGAATGAAAGAAAACTGTTAAATTAAAATGTTAAGACAGAAATAGAATGGTAATAGGTGGAGGAAACAACTAGTGGCCATGTGTATTCAAGTTCCTAAACACCTGCTATTATATTCATGCATTCACACACACACAAATCCTTCAGCGACTTTAAAGGGGTCTCTTGTCTTTACATAATACATACCACTTATCTGTTACTGCAGTATTATAAGCATACTTATAAGGAAAACTTAAATTAGAGTGGTGAAAAATGAGAGCTTAATTCACCCCAAGCAAATCTAAAACCACTGGCATCTTCTATTCTCTCTGCCAGTTCTAGCCTTCCTGAATACAGGAAAATACAAGAAAATGGCAGCAGCCAAACTATCTGCAGAATGACCCTCGACTTCGCTACGAGTCATATCCAAATCCCTATTTTGGCTCCCAAATCTACCTTTGATGTATACACGAGGTTGTCTTATCCATGAGTATTTACAGTATGTCATTTCTAACCAAAATATAAAATGCTACATAATAGCTTTAGTTGAAAAGCAATTTTTTTTCTTAGATGGAGCAATCCCAATCACATCTTACCTCTGTTTACTGCAGATGCTTTTTATAAGCCAATCTGCACCCAAGGTCAATTTATTCATCTCAATCAGTAGCCTTCAAACTAAAGTCCTAGCAAAATTTGTTGTAGAGTTCATCACTGAGCATATCACTAATGGCAGTCAGGATTCATTTCCCAGTACAAATTGTACAAGAGGCAGCTTATATGTAATTACCCAAGTTTTCCTTCCATTTGTAGCAATCAGAGTGTGATGGGGATATGTTGTAGAAGGGATTCTTCCTTCATGTGAAACAATACTAACAGTTGTCTCTGTTTTGCACTAACTGTCTGCGTTCCAGGAAGTTCACAGCAAAAAAATCAGTGCAGGATGTATAAGAACTCAGAAAAAAGTCTTTGTGTGGACTATGATTCTCAGAATATCCAAGCCAGCCATGGGGGTTATAACTCCAAGAAAGATTTTTTTCCATGATTTGGAAGGTATTATTTTGAAAATAGTAATCTTGAACACTAATAATTAAATTTGCCAAGTAACCTCCCACGTATTTCCACAACCACAGCCAACCACCCAAAAATCACAATGGACCTGAAGCTGCTGATCCATATTAAAACACTATGTGACAAAATTTGGAAAAAAAATGTTCCTGGTTTAAAAGTGTTATTTCCTGTGTTGTTGTGTGGTACTTTGAAAGCAGTTGTAATCCAGAAACTTTGTTTTTTGTGGCTGCCACAAACTATGTTGAATTAGTTGAGACTTGATAAGATATTCATTGAAAAACTATAGCAAAATGTGCTGCAGGATGTCCCACAAAAACAACGTTTTTTGCAATTAAATAAACGTTTCCCATTTTTAAAGGAAATTACATTTATAACCCAGGAACAATTATTGTTACACATAGTGATTAAGGCCAAGAGAGGTTATGAAATTATGTCATTGTGAACAGATATAACCGAAGAAGGTGCGTATTGCTTTCCATTCCAACAAACTGCAAATATCCTTGGACACTGCAACCCACTGCAACCCGAACTTTTCCTTTTGCAAAGTAGTACCTTACCATCCTCAGCTCACTCAATTGTATCTAATTTCAAAAGTTAAGCATGGTTGAATTAGATTAATACTCATGGATATATCTCCAGGTAGGACTAGGAAATAATTGTTCCTGAAACCCTGGCAAACTGGGGCTGCTGATCGGAATTATGGACAAGATGTGCCAATGATCTATTTCAGTATAAGACACCCTCCTATCTTCCTAGATGACTGATGATGATACTCCTTCACAACATGGAAGAGAAGAAGACAGAAAAGAAGTTTGAAGGTCAGGTCTAAGCCCTTAACTGTGAATATAATTCAAGCAACACCTTGTCAGAAACAACATTCCCCAGCTAACTATGGGCTGCCAATCAACTATAGGACAAGCTGCTCAATAAACCGAGGGCTCTTCTTTTGCAGCACATGAAGTTTTTCTGGTTCACATCTCTCACAATTCTATTGAGTTGTGTGGAAGAAAAAATGGATGTCTTTGACACAGGCCTTCTAAGTCAAAGGCTGCATTTGGACTCCCTGGACCATTTTTTGTGGTCCTTGGGGATCTCCAGGGTGAAAGTTTTCTCAAAGGCTTTTAAAAATAGAAGTAAATCAAATATGAGTTTGATCACTTCCTGGTTTTTTTTTTAAACCCTCTAAATTGGATCAGGAGAACTTAAAACCATGGCAAAAGTACTTCCACATTCCCTTAAAGGGCTTTGGGGGATATTTAGAGTAAGAACATTTGTTGTTGTTTTGCACTGTTGGAATGGGATAATAGAGGTGCAGCCCCTCAAGGTCTCCTTGGGGCCTAATGTAACCCTCTAGCCTCTGCAGCTGCCCATCCCTAGGTTGGATCCTATTTATTGGAGAAGGAAGGAGAAAAGACGGTCTCTGCAGAGGCCACTTTGTGATAATCTGGGGATGGCTCATACTCACATGAGCTGTGACATGACATCACACTCTTCACTGCAACATTAAAAACATTTCTAACACTTCTGTAATGTGTGTGCACACTTTTGTGCATGCACACCCATGATGGCAAACTATGTATATATTTTAGCGATACTATTAGTGGCACCACATCATGAAAGGGCAAGGTAGACTTGGTCACATCACTCATTTTGAGATTTCTCCCTTTTCTTTTAATGTCACAGTTACCATAATATATCATTTTAAAAAACCAAAGAAATATGCAGCTGATAAAATCAGGCTAATATTTTATATATAATATATATATATATAATTATATATATTTATAATTCCCCACCCCATACGAAAGTCTGTAAAAGTCGGTGTTGCAGTGTGAAAGCTTCTGTTGAGCAGAGGAGTTTAAACAATGAACCCCACTCTTTTTTTAAAAAAAAGGAAAGAGAAACAACCTAAATAGCTGTAGGTGCATCCCCCCATATTTCTACAGTGTTGTGTCTAAAATGTTGTGCTGGCTTGTAAAAGGAACTGGTATGCAAGTCATCCTTGTCTTCAAATACTGCTCGGAATCCTATCATTGTCACTGGTTCGTTTCTGGAATTGTGCTGTCCTCTTCCGACTTCATCTTCCCTTTGTTGTCTTCCTCCTCCTCTTTAATTGCCTCAATTTGTTCAGAGGATGGGTGCAACGTTGCTGGTTGCTCCAGAGCTTGCTTTTCTATCCCGGCTTTCCTTTCTTCTTCCTCTGTGACTTTCTTCCACATCTGATGGTTCTCAAGCAGGTGCTGAGTTATCTGGCAGAAGATTTTCCTCCTCTTCTTCCCTGCAAAACATCACAATTCAGAATTATTACAACTGCATGCCGTCCTAGGTAAGGTATATGCAGTCCCTAAGTTATGAACAAGATAGGTTCTGTAGGTTTGTTCTTAAGCTGAATTTGTTTGTAAGTCAGAATATAAGGAAGCTTTGTATAGCACAGGGAAAGGTTAACACCCCTTTAGTGTTTGTGTCAGGTTTTACAATGTATTGTCATGTAATATAGCTGAGTCATGCACTGCTAATGGGCTTCTATTGGAAATGCTGAGTCATGCATTAACTGTATATAGAACTTCATTTGAGGAATGTGTTCTGGCCTAGTCCAGGTGATTGTGAATGATGTAATCCTGGGTCTGAGTTAAGTTAATGAGTTGGGAACCAATCAGAGATTGCTATGTGTCATTGTATAGAATTGTATATAAGGAAGTCATGTACAGTGTATATTTCTCTCCTTGTGCTGTGATGCTGTTTGTCGAAGGCTTTATGTAATTGATTAAAAGAACCTGTCTGCTACAACTCTGGGGACAACGGTTGGCAATTATAAACTACTGGGAGACATTGGGCAAGGCATCTCTCTAAGCCTCAGAGGAAAGTAATATCAAGTCTCTGAAGAAACCTTGCCAAGAAAACCCCATGCTAACATGTTTTAAGGCTGTCATAAGTTGGAAATACAATACAAAAGCAGGGGTGAATAAAGTGTAGGTCACAGGTGGCATTCAGACCTAAGATTTCCTCCTTTTTGTATATTTAAAACAAAAGCAAATCAAGTTGCCAGTACTATTCTGGGATACTACCTTGCATGTTGTCATTTCCCACTTAAATGTGTTGTCAAATGACAGCTAGAGTGCTTGTAAAACAGCTGGTGGAAGAACTAGAAAAGGAGAAGATGTCACCCTGCTTTACCTGTACAGAGTTGGTTATGAAACTTCCCTAGGGCACTTAGGAAGAAAATAGTGCTCTGTCACTGAGATTCAAGTTGCTGGCAATGTGGGGGAATTTTCATCTTCTCCTGGTAGGGGAAGGGCTCGATTACACCACTGCCACTCTCTCCTCCTCCACTTCAACGGCATCCCCCTTTGCTTCCCTGCTAGAGGGTTATATTACTTCTCCTAACACTGCCTTACGTAGACAAGTGGGAAGCTGGCATGCTCCTTTAGTGAACATGGGTTAATATAGCCCAGTCAAAGAATTCATGCTTTGCACACAAAAGATAGGGAGAGAGGCTGGCAAATATCCATGGCCAACTAATTTAATTTGCACTATTTTAAATAGTTTTTAATCTAATTTTAATGTTTTACTTATTATGTAACTGTTGTTTTTACCTGTTTGTATATGGGGGGCATTGAATTGTTGCCGGAGGTAAGCCATCCTGAGTCCCCCTTCGGGGGTAGAGAAGGTGGGCTACAAATATTTGAAATAAACAAATAAATAAAATAATCCCCATTTTCTGAAACCCTTAGAGCAGTGGTTCTCAACTTGGGGTCCCCAGATGTTTTTGGCCTTCAACTCCCAGAAATCCTAACAGCTGATAAACTGGCTGGGATTTCTGGAAGTTGTAGGCCAAAAACATCCGGGGACCCCAGTTTGAGAACCACTGCCTTGTCATGGCCAGCCAATTTGATAGTTAGATGTGGCTACTGATCTGACTTAGTATATGGCATATTTCTATGTTTCTGTGTGAACTATACTACCAGACTGTGACTATCTGAATGAAACTAATGTTGGTGGAGTGGGACTTCTCACAACTAATTTTCACAGGATGCAAAATGCAGTCTTCATACTGCAGGTGGTGGCTCACATGACTTAACACCCATAGAAAGTCGCTGGGTGACCTTGGGCAAGACATACTCTCTCCACTTGAGAGGAAGACATGGGTGAACTCCCTCTGAACAAATCCTGCCAAAAAACAGCTGAGTTATGGTTGCCTTAGGGTTGCTAGAAATGACTTGAAGGTACACAGTAGCTTGATTAAACCTTTCCCCTAATGAATAATTGAGAAAGCTTAAATAAGTATGCCTATTGCTCAGACACAGGTTCAGGTAACATTTTGAGATATTACAAGAACTCTTAAGTACCTCAGTTAAATTATGCAAAATCTACTGCTCAGTGCTGGAAGGAAGCATCCTCTCCAATACTTTCCTGTTTCCTCTTACGGTTTGCTCTTAATTCCCAGCCTTTCAACAATTAACACTGTTCATTGCAGATAAATCAACTAAAGTATCAGTTGTTTAATCTATTCCTTGAGGAGATTAATAGTGTGATGCCTTAAGAATAATTCCACACCTTTTCTGGGATTACTAGTTTGGGATCAGACTATGCAGGAGTGGCTCTCACAACACTGTGAGATGCAGTGTAGGAACTGAGCTTAGCTGAAGTGGCTGAGTTCTCAGTTAAGATTCTTAAAACTTTAAGAGGAAAACTCTTTCATTCTGCCCCCTCCTACTGAATTCTCTCATGATCCATCCTTAGCAGCTGCTGCTAACTTGAATGATAAACCTCTTCAGAAGTTTTAATGAAGGGGCTGGATGTGGGGAGAGGGGGAAAATGACGTATAGGAATGTTTTGTCCCAAAGCAATGTGTGCATAGATTAGCGTTTCCAGGTGGCCTAAAGTAAGTGTGTGCTGGGAGCCAAATTGTTGAGTCCTTCAATCTTTTCAACTGCAAACAAAGAGCTTTTCACTGTGGCACAGCCCAAATCCAGTTCAATCCTTCATTAGAAAGCTTTCAGTTCCCTGTAGGAAACCTTCAGATTTAATCAGAAGAAACCTCTATTCCACAGTAGTGTTCCATGCGAGAACATTTTCTCCCTTGTCTCCTGGGAGATAACCCCTCCCAAATATTGCAGTTCTCCAAAGAGGTCATTAGAGCATTTATCATGATTTGAAATTCTACAGGAAGCCATTATAAACCTAATCAAGTTAAAACACTGCAACCGGAATAGTGAAATACAGTAGCCAATGCTTTAAGGTTATAAAATCATAGGGTTGGAAGAGACCTCGTGGGCTATCCAGTCAAACCCCCTTCCAAGAAGCAGGAAAGCCACATTCAAAGCACTCCTGACAGATGGCCATCAAGCATCTGCTTAAAAGCCTCCAAAGAAGGAGCCTCTACCACACTCCAGTCATACAGAAGACTGGAGGGCCCAGAAGATGCAAGTCTCTTGCAGCACAACACATGATGCAGACACTCCATCTGTCATTGTCTATCAAAGACAGGCCTATTAATTCATCATCTTTGAGAGGTGTCTTTAATTTTTATGAGTTAAGAAGGTTGTGCTACTTCAGAGGTCATCCAATTTCGACTGTGTGCCCTAGATTAAAATGCTGAGAATGTGTTTGAGTAAAAATGTTTGAGCGTTGCATTTAGAATCCATGAAACCAGGGCTTGAATCCCTGCTTAGCCATAAAAACCTACTGGGTGACCTACTTAGGCTCTCTCACCCTCAGAGGACAGATATAGTAAACTCCCTATGAACAAGTAAGTCTTTGCCTATGCAATTTGAATGTGATTTTTAAATGGACAGTAATGTCCATTATTGGTTTCTCTTCTTTTCATTGCATAACACAAACGTTGTAATCAGAATGTGGTTGATAACTTACACTGGTATAGTTCACAAATATGCTCACATAAGCACTTTGTTAAACATTGTGTCTTATTGCAGTGCCTTTGCCTTCAGTGTTCAAGGGTCCTGGGCAAAGTTTCACTCCAACCCACTGATAGGGTAAAGGGTGTACTTGGAGGAGAAGGGACAAGTTTCACATATGCCCTGCCCAGTCCACTGATACATCTATGCTAGCAGACATTTACACGCTACCAGTGGTCCAAACAACTACACCACATTGGCTTTCCAAATATCTACTAGGGCAGGCCAACAACAGGCTGCAAAGGTAACACCCACTGTCAGGAGCTAACTGATCTTACTTCAACACTGGCAACGAGACTGCATCTACACCAAGGAGGAGCAAGCTACCTGAGATGTTGGAGAGCTCGAATAACTAGGATTCACTGAGTGTTTTTTCTTGGGCACAACCTTTCGTCTGAAGTGGCTTCATTACCCTTGTGAATAATTTTGCTGCTTTAACAAGTAGAAAACAGTAACAGCAGTGGCCCCCTGTCTGTGGAACTCTCTCCCTAAGGACATCGGGTTGGCCACCTCCCTCCTTTAGAAGACATCTGAAGACTTTGGGACCAGGCGTGCGAGTAGAGGTTAGCGGCAACTTGGATAGGAAATTTTTGAACATTGCGACATGGGATTTACCTGGCTGGATCTTGGTTTTAGCTGCATGTTAATTTATTGTTAATGATTTTGTTAATGTATTGTACAATGTTTTAAATTGAGTTTTATGGTTTTAATTGAATTTTTTATTGTATATGTTGATAGCATCATTGATGCTTATGCGAGGCTGCCCTGAGTCCCCTTTGTGGGGAGAAGGGCGGCGTAGAAATGAATGAAATAAAATTAAATAAATAAATAAATAAAATATTGCACCAGAAGACTGTGAAAAAGATCCTTCCCCGGCCTACAGCAAGGGAGAGGTGAACTTTTTCAGCCAGGAATGGAAAGAATCACACTTTGGTAATTGCCTTTCAAGTTCCAGGCTACAACCTGGAGTTGACTTGCCAATCCATTAGCAAGGAAGATGCCAGCTACCATTGCATTCAACTTATTTTTGCTATGTGGTGACAAGTGTGTCCCTTTCTCACTGTAAAGCATGGAATAGTAGTAATCCCTAATCCCTAATCAGCAAGGAGGCTGTGCATGTAGGTGAGTATGTGAGATCTCCACTTTTGAGAACTTCCCAGCATAACTCATCTGCTCAGAAAGGCAGTCGAGCAATAGGGAAAGGATCAAAACAATGACAACACTCAGGAATATAGACAGAAAACTATTCTGTCTAGCATGGTCTTAAACAGAAATGAGTGTGTGTAGACCTATGGCCACTCAGATGTTATTTACCTTTAACTCATATAATCCTCATGCAGCTTGGCCAATTGTAAGGAATAATAGGAACTGCACTAAATAAACATGAGGAAAGTCAATGGGTTTTGTTGTTAAAGCACCATTCACCTGCTGTAAATATGAAATTTGCCTTCAGTTTAAATTTGAGGTTGGGAAAGCATTTGTCAGAAGTCCTAAACTCCCCTAAGGAGAACATTTCCCATAGGTTCACTGGCCCTGCCATTCAAAAGCTATATTACCTTCTTGATCATTTTACCTATCTGATCAAGTTTAAATCATAAACCGAGATCCTGCTGAAAATTGGGACATCTGTCCTTTCTTCTCTCCTGTGGCACACCAGAGGAAGAATTAACAGACGTTTTAGGTCCCCCTGAGAGATTATCCAAAGGGAATGCCTGACTGAGCTCAAAAGAGGAAAAAGCATGTACTACAGCTACATTTTTCAAAGATTGAGGGGGAGATACCACGAGCTACTGCAGTTTCATAAAAACATAGCTTGGAAAAGTGATCTTTTTTTGGTACTGCAGCTCTCAGAAACTTCAAGACAGTATGACATTTTCAGGATTTGGGGGGTTCTCATGCAAGAAAATACACTTTTCCCAGTTCTGCAAAAGAATTGCATTCAACTCCTGACAGATGGTCATCCAGGCTTTGTTTAAAGACAAAGAAGGAGACAACATCAGACTCCAGGCAGCAAATTCTGCTGTCAGACAGCTCATTATTGTCCAGAAGTTCTTCATAATGTTTAGGTGAAATCTCTTTTCTTGTAGTTTGAACGCATTGCTCTGTGTCCTAATCTCCAGAACAGGACAAAACAAGCTTGCTCCATTTTCAATATGACATCCTTTAAAACAGGGGTCCTCAAACTTTTTAAACAGAGGGCCAGGTCACAGTCCCTCAAACTATTGGAGGGCCGGATTATAATTTGAAAAAAACATGAATGAATTCCTACACACACTAGTGCACACATCTTATTTGTAGTGCAAAAACCACTTAAAAACAATACAATAATTAAAATGAAGAACAATTTTAACAAATATAATTGTATTAGTATTTCAATGGGAAGTGTGGGCCTGCTTTTGGTTGATGAGATAGCATTGTTGTTATTGTTGTTGTTGTGTGCTTTCAAGTCATTACAGACTTAGGTTGACCCTAAGCGAGGGCCAGGTAAATGACTTTGGAGGGCCGCAGTCAGCCCCCAGGCCTTAGTTTGAGGACCCCTGCTTTAAAACATTTAAATATTTCTATCATGTTACCTCTTAACCTTTTGTTCTTGAGGATAAACATTTTCAGCACTTTAAGCTGCTTCTCAGAGGGCATAGTTTCCAGACTTTCTACTACTTTTGATTACCCCCCACCCCCAGAACACATTACAATTTGTCAAGCATTGGCTAACCAGAAAAGAGGGGCATAATAACTTCCCAAGATCTATTGATGCAGCCTAGAATCACATTGGTTTTTTTAAGTTGCCACATCATATGATATTGACCCATGTGCAGCTGGAGCGGGTTGATGGGAGGAATTTTAATTAGGGAAACCTTGTGAAGTATGTGGCAGAGGGCTATGAAAGGGTTAAAACATTGGCTTTAGCAATCCTGGAATCCAAGCAATTATTTTAGATACTGCTTGTACGCCAAGCAGGCATACACACAAATATATGCACATGCACACATGATTAGAGAACGTACTTGACTCTGGATTTTCACAGGTGTCCATATCTGCTGAATCTTCTTCGTCTGGTTCATCTGTATCTCCCAAATCATCATTGTCTTCAACCCATTTCCCTGGCATCAGTCCTGCCGAGTCGTAGGAATTGCACAGCGGCCCCACAATGTGAGTGATGAAGGATTCCTGTAGGTTTGCCAACTGAGGAGCAGAACGATCCATGAATGGGCTAATCGGGAGGCCTAAGCTGGCTTCTTCATCACCCTTAGAAAGCAGGAAAAAACATATTACAATCTCAGTTATGTTGATTCCTACTTCATTTCTGGATCCAGATTTATGTGTTTGCGTTTCAACATTTAAAAATTTCAAAGAAACCTTGTTACTCTCCAGATGTTGATGGACTGCAACTTCCACCAGCTCTAGCTCTGAATAGCCAAGGGTGATGAATGTGCAAATAAACAAAGTTCAGCCACATCCATAGGATTGCACTTTGCACCCCGAACTCTAACAAACAGAATAGAATGAATATTGAAAAGATATTTTTAAAAGTGATTGAAAGGCATGGATAAAAGACTGAGTTTTGCTGAGTAATACTGAAATATTGGCAGTGGAGGGGCATGATCTGAGATATGGTTGGCATGGTTATATGTGGTAGGACAGAGTGAAAGTGAATGTGGATTTTAAAAATCATTATGTTAGACAGGCTCTATCACAAATATGAGAGAAATATAAATTAATCTTTTGCCTGACGATGCCAACGTGGGTATATGTGCAGGAAACATTTTATAGAAAAGAGACACAAGGCTTATTTTATTAAAATGTATGACAAATAAAATGTGAATGCTTGTCAAGAAAAGAAAAAACATGCTTCTTGAGTATTGGAAGGACCTGTTGGGAAAAATCCTGAACTGGCAGAATTTTTCAGAGTTTAAGACTTATTCTATGAAAAATTTACACATGAAGTTTTGTGCAGAAACAGCAGCAACTACTACATATATTTCATTATTTTATGTGCAGCAAATTCTATTTCTTACATAGAAGGAGTTGTAATTTCGTGCAGAATTTGCATGTGGCTTTTGGTGTAGAATTTAGAATTTTCTGCATGAGAACCAACTTTTTCAGCACAGAAAGTAATATTTCACTATAATTTCATTACTTTATCTGTAGAAAATGCTTGTGCTGGAACATACATATTGGGCAGGGGAAAAAACCAACTTAAAATATCCATAGAAAAATCAGCACGGGAGATTTGAAATTTTAATCACAGTTTTAAAATGGACAATTAATGTATCTAAATGGTCCCAGCTGGAACCAATTTAGACTCTCTGTCATAGGAGAGGCAGGGTTACCTGATAAAAGTCTCAGTGTATCACACTTTGCAGCTAGTATTCTGCTGAACTCCATTATCTACTATCATCAAATTTTCCTAAGTTTCCTTATTAAATAATTGAATACTGTTTACTGCCCCAGGCAAAGTTCTATTTCTGCAGGCATGTGGACCTGCAATTGGCAAACAACACATTACGGTGAGGAAATGTCACCTTTGGAGCACCTTTAATGCTTCTGTGATGACTTTCTTAAGTAAGTGCTTGTCAGCTAAACAAAATACAGTTTTGAGTAATGCGTCCCAGAAGGCCAAGTTAAAATCCCTTTGTTTGAAGAAGTCTCAATACTTTAGAGAGCTTCCTGATCTCATCTTTATTTCCCCCATTATGTGAGATGCTTTAATATGAAATGAAAAGGTAGTATTTTGGGGTAATGGGGTCAACCTGAACCCTCAGAATCTGGAATTTTGGCCAGATAATTGAATTACTTCATTGTCGTTCTCAAAATCTTTGTTCTGACACAGAGGAATTTTGGTAGCTTATCCAATGAGACTGGGAAAATGTGACATCTTAATCTCAAAAATCTATCTTCTGGAGAGTATTGACCCTGCACATCCCCCTTTTTCTTGTGCGTGTTTCTATGTGTAGATTAGGGATAATATTATATAGGCCTCACTTTAAAACCTCTTTCTTTCATCTCCCCTTCTCTTAGCAATCCCTACAGTTTCAAACTGCTATTCATTTCAAACCCTCATAGCATTGCAAGTTTATGGTTCTGTTCTTCATGTCCTTTTGTCATTTGTGAAGCTCTATTATGGATATTTTGATTGTTGTGTGTTCACAAAAATTCAGCTTTCAGAGAGTTTTTAATGAATGTGAGTTTTGAATCCAATTTTCCTGATTTGCCAAGGTTGCAAGATCCATGATATTAAGTCACAGATGTTCTAAGTAAACATGTGTATCAGGGATCTCGTAACTTGGTGGCAAATTAAACTCAAAATGCCTGAAAATACCAATTCCCAGTTTTGGGAAGAGGTTAATAATCTTTTAAATGATTAGCATCAATTTTTTAGCCACAAACTGTATTGATTATACATATAATCATCATGCTTTTAAAACAACAGCTAGTCCCTCTGTCAAAAGTAGTTATGAATGGAGGACATTACTATAGAAATCAGTGCTCATGCTAAAAGGATAGCATGAACTAGAAACATAATAATAACAATAATAATAATAATAATAATAATAATAACACCAACAACAACAACAACACTTCTGAGGATGCTTGCCATAGATGCAGGCGAAACGTCAGGAGAAATGCCTCCAGAACATGGCTCTATAGCCCGAAAAAACCCACAAGAACCTAGTGATTCCAGCCATGAAAGCCTTCGACAATACATACAACAACACTTTATTTGTACCCCGCTACCATCTTTTCAAGGGACTCGGTGCGGCTTACATGAGGCCGAGCCCAAATACAACAATACAAGCAATTAAAATAAAAAATGGACAATACAATAATGCAACATTAAGAATAAGACCACACGATTAAAAACTATGGGAAGGCCAAATGTAAAATTAAAATTGAAAGTAATGCTGGAACATGGGTGAAAAAGTGATGGGGTGTTTGTGGAAAACATGCAAGCAGACCTAAAAAATGTAAAGTGCTTTGGAGAACAAAGTGCTATGGGATCATTATTCTGGGAAGGCACACTGGAACAGCCATGTCTTCAAGCTCCTCCTAAAGACTGCCAGAGTTGGGGCCTGCCTGATGTCCTTAGGAAGTGAGTTCCAGAGTCGGGGGGCCACCACCGAAAAGGCCCTCTCTCTCATCCCCACCAATCGCGCCTGCTATGCAGGTGGGATCGCGAGCAGGGCCTCTCCAGATGAACGTAGATATCGAGTGGGTTCGTATACAGAGACGCGGTCACGCAGGTAGGCGGGTCCCAAACCATTCAGGGCTTTGTAGGTAAGAACCTGCACCTTGAATTGGGTCCGGAAAATGAATGGCAACCAGTGGAGCTCCTTGAACAGGTGTCCAATGCATCAAAATTGTTCAATCAAATTAATCTATTTGAGCTATGCTTGCTAGTCTAGCAGATTAATTATTGTGATTTTTCCCTATAATTTCGTAATTATTCTTAAATGGTAGTTAAATGTTTATTCATTTATTCTCCATGGCACTACTGGATTGAGACAAACAGACCTCATATTCATCCATTCCCCAGTTTAGTTTATCACAGCCCTTAAGATTTCAGAGAAGATGAAGAATTAGAAAAAGGGAGTGGTAGTTAGACAGTGTAGCTTCAAGCATGTTACAAGGAGTACAGTTGGTCCTTTTTATCCACAGATTCTGTATTTATGGATTCAACAATCCACAGTTTGAAAATATTCTGAAAACAAACCTATATTTTGACACTTTAGTACACCACCATAAACAATGGGATTTGAGAATCCACTGATTTTAGTATCCACATGGAGTCTTGGAGCAAAAACTAGAAGTGGCCATTACCTGTTCATAAAATTCGTTAACAATGCCTTCTGTCCATCGTAGATGCAAGTCTTTATGTTTTGCTGGGCCATTTATGTCAGCCAGTTTGATGCACATTTGACAAACCAGCAAGCGGTCATTCTCATTCGTCCAGTCAATGCCAACATCATCATTCACCTGGATTTGAGTAAACAGTTGGATGTTGATGGAGTTAGGCATCACACAAAATAAATAATTGAAGAGAAGGATGTAATAGCAGAAAAAATGCAATGTAGGAATTATTTGTGCATCCTTTGTTTTACTATTCTATATAAGATAGAATTCCATATACATTTGAAGCTTCACTCTGAGTGCATGTATACTGTGGAATCAATGCAGTTTGACACCACTTTAATGGTTGTGGCACCACAGATGTAAATGGTATTGCACCACCTGACATCTGTCAGGAAGTAGCAGCCAATAATGAAAGGACCAAGGCATTGACATCTCCGGACTATCCTCTGTTTGGATATCAGCCAGCATGCCAACACCTTAAATCAAGAAATAGCTTTCTAAGATCTACAGAGATACTTGCAGGGACATCTCAGCAAGTGAGAGTCCAGAAGTGGCAGGCTAAAACCCAGAATCTCAATCCATGGCTGATATCAGATGAGAGACTCCCTCCTGGGCCCAAAGAAGACTGGGTGACTTGGAGGCTGCTGACCAGACTCTGCTCTGGCACCACGAGGTGCAGAGCTAATCTTCAAAGTGGAGTCCACAACATGTGAGTGTGGAGAAGAGCAAACCACAGACCAGTTATTACAATGCAGCCTGAGCCCTGCCACAAGCATAATGGAGGATCTTCTTACAGTGACACAAGAGGCACTCCAAGTGGCCAGCTTCTGGTAAAAGGACATTTAATATAATGCCATATTTTTAACTTGGTGTTTTTAAATACATGATAAGTGTACCCTCAATTCACTGCTGAAACTATAAATAAATAAATAATGGCTATGATTCAATGTGATGGAATCCTAGGAGTTGTAGTTTGGTGAGGAACCAGCAATCTTTAGCAGAGAGAGCTGAAAACTACAGCTGCCATGATTTACTTTGTGTAAATTAACACTCACAATGTTATGTGGTAGTGGCACAACATGACCCTTTGCCTGAATACTGAAATTGTGTAATCAACCTTCTACTTGCCAATGTCCCTGCTTATTGTGCAACGGAGAATGAACGGAGACTGTTTCTGCAATTCCATTGATTCAAGTGGTACATTGAGGGTACTCTTGAGTAGTTCTGCGTCATCTAATAATGAAAAACCGCATCTTGTTTATTAGTCCTAACTAGGGTAGAGCCATTCAATTATTTGTTGAGCAGTGGATCAACATGCAGGTAATTGTAATTGATTCAATGGCTCTTCTCTAGTCAGGACTAATAACAGAATTTAGGCTCACATGAAATGAAGCTCTGCTTATTCAACCACAACTGAATCCATATATTGCACAACAACCAAATGAGTAAATGCATAAGGAAAATCAAACACTTGTGTTACACCAATAGGACTCCAGCTTTCTTGTAGCATTTGTGTAAAGTCTTCTCCTTCCAAATGTGTTCCAGTCTGACTTAGAATCATAGAAGCAGAGAGTTGGAAGTGACTGCAAGGACCATCCAGTGCAACCCCCTGCCATGTGGGAATATGCCATTAAAGCACTCCCAACAGGGGGCCATCCAATCTCTGTTTAAAAACATCCAAAGAAGGAGACTCCACTACACCTCGTGAAACTTCATTGAATGGCTCCCATTTCTACAATCCAAACTATCTACCACTAGTCTGATGTGTAATTACCATCCACTTATGAGCAGAGCTTTATCATGTGTCCCCTTCCCCATAGCTCTGGGCTGCTATACAATGTTACCTTCCTATTTTCTATTTCTTCCATCCTCCATTCCTCAATACTTGAGAAAGGGAGGGCTGTTTAAGTTCATATCTGGTAAGGATTGATCAAAATTGGGAAATGTCTTCATGTATGGGACAGAAAGAACTTGCAATTTATAAAATCTCATTGTGGGGGAAGCTTTTTAGTAATGTTTGTCTATTTAAAACTTTTTAAAAATAAAAATAGCACAGGGCAACCAACAAGAAAGAGCTGTGAGATGAAGAAAACAATGCGATAGTCAAATGTAATTTTATGACATTCATTCCCAAACCACAGATGGATGTGGGAGGAAATGAAACTGACAGCTTTATTCATCAAAGCTCGGATTTAACTGCTTAGTTCTTAAAAGGTTGGACTTGTATCGCTACCGATCCAATATGGTGTTGTTTAATTTGGGTTCCTACCTCTTTTTTGGGGATGCATCTTATCATAGCATCCTTATGCCAGCCACATGCAGCTCAGTTCTCCACATGAAGGCAATTGTGATAGCCACTGAATTTGGTCAGCGCAAATGGGGAAAATTTCATATTCAAGATTTTTTAAAAAAATATGGGGTAGAAAACAAAACTGTTAGGTGTTCCAGATCAGACCACTTCCCCAAATGTAGGGAGGAATTCATAGTATGCAGGAAGATTTGTGGTGGGCACTGTGCAACCTTTCAGATGTTGCTGAATTCAAACTCCCTTCATCCCTCATTCGTTACCATGTTGGTTAGGATTGCTGGGTGCTGCCATGTACTATCAGCATTGCCACCAGATTTTTCATCCCTGGGTTAACACAGTCAGATCTCCATATTAGTGAATTTTACCTTTGCAGAGGTAAGCAATATAGTCTTTATAGGATTCTCTAGGTCTTCCCATGCAACTCTGTGATTAACTTCCTCCAGAAGTTAGCCAAAGAATTGTGTTGAAGAGAAAAATTATCTAGCAATCTCTAGGAGAAGTTGACCATTGAGTTGCAGTGGAGGACCTAGAGATTCATAGAGGGATGTTTTAGGATTTTAAAAGATTTTTTTATTTGTTGATTTTCCACTTTCCACAGAAGTGCTGAGTCTCTAACCCCCTTGGAATTTGTTAACTGTACTAACTTTCCATGCTATGGCCTCAAAATAAATCACTCTTACCCTACCTCTACTTCTTTCTATTAGCCTTGGGATTTGCATAGCTTGGGAATAGGGTATGGGTTTTGCAATGCCATGTTATAAAATCACAATGTCTTCAAACCCCAGCTTTTCAAGCCTTAACTATAAAGATTTGGGTTCAAAGAAGACTCACAAGATTGAGCTTACCTTGGAATTGAATTTGGCAACAAAGTCAAAGTGCTTCTTCAGATCAGTGGCCAATATTGCTTCAATAACTAGGAAGCGAAAGTGCTTGAATTCCACATGATCGAGGTTGACTAAGAAGTTATATTCTGACCTGGACATGAAGAGGTTCCATGCAGCCGCTGCATGATGGTTCTCCAGAACAGAGCGGTCATTATATAATACAGCCTAAACAAGCAGAGGGAGACAGAGAAAAAAGCTTTACTGGTGGAAGAGAACACACAAATAACAGCATACACAAAGGGACAACACTTAGAACATTTATTGTTCTGTACTACAGTTCTCAGATTCCTTCGGGATTTTGTGAGATTCTATCATTGTAGTCCATAAAGTAACTTTTACAGGCTCTGAAAAGTTTAAAATTATTTAAATCATGGTTTAGGTTACACTGTATGTAATATATGCATTATTCATATTTCCATGCTTTTACATATAGCCTCCATACCCTGACAAACTGAAGACTCAATCACTATCATATATCCCGCTCTATAATACTCTAGTTTGGAGGATTTACTAAGTTCTTTGAGGGGCTGGCAACTCAGTTGACTAATTGGTACAAGCATAATTGATGTAGCTTGCTGGATTTGGCCAGTGCAGATGTGAGGGATTTGATGTCAGTTTGCAATTTTTGCAAATTTCTTTATATTTTGGACAGACGCAATACGAAGTTGATAAGATCTAAAGTGGAGAAAATGGATGGCAGTCATGCCATTCCTTTGCAAGAGCAGAAGCTACTGGTTAATCTGGCCCTGCTTACCTGAGGAGCGCTGGTTGCAACCAAAAAGGCATTGGTTCTTCCTGGATGATCATAATCATGCATGGCGGCAGCTACATAAAGAGCCATCAGTTCAAGGGCAGGGATGTTGCCAGCCAAGCAGCCATATGTGTCATCCGCTGGTGCATACGTTTTCGACAATACATATCCCATGTGGCCGTGAGTGATCCCACTATCAGAATCTAGACAAAAAAAGCAGGTCATTACTAGAGATGTAACTCTTCACTTATTTTGTACTTGCATTCACAAATGAATAACTTCAATGTATTGCCGAAGGCTTTCATGGCCGGAATCACTGGGTTGTTGTGGGTTTTTTCAGGCTATATGGAGGCCAGAACCGCCCCATCCATCCTAACATTCAGGAAACGGGTGAAGACGTGGCTGTGGAGTCAGGCCTTCGAGGAATGAGACAACACCATAGGACTCTGGATGGAAGTGGATATAGATCCATCTTATTAGGATGACTGACCACTGTAGTTTTATATTTAGTGTTTTTAAAGTTGTTTTGTAATTTGTGATATATGATATTTTAATGAATGTATATGTTTTTATGGCTGTAAACCGGGCTGAGTTCCTCGACGAGGTTGAGAAGCTCGGTATACAAAACTGTGAAATAAATAAATAAATATGGCTATATGGTCACTACCTCTGAGGATGCTTGCCATAGATGCAGATGAAACGTCAGGAGAGAATGCCTCTAGAACATGGCCATATAGCCCGAAAAAACCCACAACAACTCAGTGAATAACTTCAATTTCTAGAAGAGGTTATTAACAAATTTTGTACTTTTTAAAGTGATTTTTTTGTTCTTTGGAAATATTAGAAAGACTTGTTTGTACAGAAAATGTGGTTTGCAGGGGTGGGGTGGGATTTGGCCTCTTATCTTCACACAGTAGCCCAATCCTGAACCAAAACAAGGCATGTGACACAGAATGCAGCACATGGTTCAGATGGCACATGTAAGGATGGGCAGCAATGGTAACCTCCCAACTGTTTCTTGTGATCACTAGCTACCTCCTTCAATTTGAGAAAAGTATATCCACAAAAGAACATTCTCTGCCTAATGTGTTGAAGCAACATTCCACTGTCAGGAAGGTCAACTTCTGTAAATGAAGTGAGAAGTGCTATCTTATCCTTCACCTCTAGCAGGAAAACATCTTGTGTTGTCTCTGATTCATCAAATTGCGGAGCTGAAAGTCATCTAAAAGAGACATTTGTTCTTATGGCATCTAGATTATCACGATTTACACTCATTTCTTTTCATGGGACAAAGTGGGACACATTCCAGAAGTGTCACAAATATCTTGAGCTACCAATTGAGTTATTGTGGAAAAGGTGGAAACCCCACTTTAATAATCACCCTAAGAGTTGGTTCACCAATAGTCCAGAATACAGATATGAATGTTTTGCAATGGGAAGTGCATCATCTACCCACATCTAACAATAAGATCTTAAATTTATAGCCAGTCCTTCACTCTCACTGAGATGAGGGACATAGGATCCCCCATAAAAGTGAAAGTCTGAATTAAAATGCTATTTTAATTCTGTTTCTTGTCTATTGGTATTATATAAATTTTAAGAAATACTTAAAAATAGTTTTAAACCCAAGAGAACATCACTTTAGGAATATCTATGACCTCCAGCATGACGTATCATTGGGGGGGGGGGGGGGGAGACGGACGGACGGAACCTAGAGATTTCTAGTGAGAACAAATCTGTGAATAATCAAATCCTCAAATGTCAAAACTGTAAATGTGGGGGATCAACTGTATATTCATAAATTCTTTCTAGAATAGACATCACTCAAATTAACTTGCTAATCCCTTCCTCACGTATCTGAAAACTGTGGCTAAGGTACAACAAAGAAATGGAAAGGAGTACCACTCCAGGTATTTTCTACCAATTCAGTATCTCTCCTTCAAAAATAAGGTACACTGGGCAAGGATGGCTAGAACCATACCTGAATCACTTGCTGACCCGTGGTCATTAATCACAGTTGGGAGGCCTGGTATAGACTGGGTTGACAGATACCAAACAGCATGAAGGACATCAGTGGCATGGATCCTGTTGTGATCTGTGAAGACAGAGGCAGGTTACTTCTGTTTGGAGTGTGAGGGCAACAATGCCATCTATTGGACAAAAAAGTAGTTAATTTCTTATTTCCAGCTCCTATCTTTTCTAAGAAATGAAATCAACTATTGGGTTAATAAACCAGTGGGGATACATCCATACATAAAGACATGCGTTACTTCTCCTTAGAGCATAGAAACACTCTAGTTCACTTAACCAGTGGTCATACTGGCTGGGAGCATACTCTGAACTGTAGTTCAAAAGTAACTTTTCCAAATTACTTTTCTTTTTCAAAGTGAGCAGTCATAGCATATGTGTGTGCATGATTTAGTTGGACACCAAAGGACATAAAACAATAGCCATTGAACCTTCCTCTGACTCTAAGAGTGTGTGGCTTGTCTAAAGTGACCATAAGCTTCCATGGCTGAATGGAGATTCATACCCTAGTTCCCAGAGTTGTAGTCTAATGCTCAAGCCACTGCATTACACTGACTCTCATTTAAGGTAATACCAATATAAAATGACAGCAGCTCAAATTATAAAAAAGTAACCTTATCCTGCCAACATTTTTGTATGCATTTTGGGATGTTCTTCCCCCTTAATTTTGTATGTATGTTATGTTACTTACAAGGTATATCTCGGTATCCACACTCCAAAGCATGGAAGTAGTTCATGAACTCTTTCACAGGGATTTTAAAGGTTTCAAACAGCCCCATGTCCTCAAAGAGCCTATAGGATACCTAGAAAGACAAAAGCAAAAGGAGACATAAGAGAAAGAGCAGACATGATGAACATCCTAAATGTGGACATCCAAAATCCCTTACTGGGACTTTCCAATACCAAACGACCCCCGGCTCTGTCCCCAAATCACAAAAATGATAGATGCAATCTTGTAGAAACTATAGAAAAAGGTGAGCAAAATGAAAATGACAGATTGCCTTCCTTGTTTTGCATACAACCACAACCAAACACACAATCACAAAACATTTCAATTGATAATACTGGCAGACAATGCAAGTCAATAACAGAGCATTAAAAACCAGGGGGTAATTTCAGCAGCATGCACTAATGAAGTTCCCCACTCATTGTATTCCTTTTTCTATGAAGGAAAGAAAGACATGCCCATACAATATAAATATAATGAATATAAATATAGCTACATAACTCTTAGATGACAGCAAGCTGATCTTACATCTTTTTCTCATATACTCCATAATTGAACTGCATTTTCCCTCTCAGTTTTTATATTATTTGGCCAGTAGAAAAAGGAGGAGGAGGAGATCAAAAATGCGTAAAATAGAGTGGAATGGGCAAAAGAGTAAGTGCAAAATACAGTTAAAGAGGTTTTTTTAAAAAAAACAAGACCACCTCCATAGATCAAGTTAATTATTGCTGGCAAGTCAAGAAGTTAAGAGCTTTCTTGGATCAGACTTCGCGTGCATCTATACTGTTGATTTAATGCAGTTTGACACCATTTTAACTGCCATGGCTCAATGCCATGGAACCCAGGGAGCTGTAATTTGGTGAGGCACCAGCATATTTTGGCAGAGAAGGCTACAGACGTGGAAAAACTACAACTTTCATGTCCTGAGATCTCTGCAACAATTTTTCTGGCATTTTTTTTCCATGCTCCTTGCCCCAAATCCTGTTCAGCACACAAACATATATGGACAGTGAGATCCTTCTTGTTCTGGCCCCAAAATACTTCTGCTAATGTCTGATTCCCTCAAAGTCTGTTTGACTTTGCTATTCTCATGTGCATTGGTGCTGCCATATTACTACAAACACATGTATGCCCATGCCTGAACATCGGAAATGGGGGGAATATTAGTTTCTGTAAAAAACTATTTAAACTAGTGTCTAACACTCCTCTTCTATGAATACTGCACATCAACAACATTCTCTGTTGTTTGTCTTGGGCTGGCCAAAATTGTGCCATCATTTCAAAACATTTATATCACAATTATTTTCCAGTTTACTAGTTTATTATTTCTGTTTAAGAACAAACTGTAAGTATTTCTCTTCTTTCTTCCTTTGAATTGGGGAACTAGATGAAATTGTAGTAGATATTAGAAGGAAATTCTGCCACCTACTGCAGCATTATGGTCAAAACTTGAGATCTGTAAGAGTAAAATTTATCTGGACTCTCATCTGAAGACTTATTTTTTACTTTATTTATTAGTTACAATAAAACACTGCCTTTTCTCCAGCAAGCCCAACCTAGAGGAGATTAACAGAGCCATAGAAGAGGGTTCAGGGGCCACCAAGTCCAATCACTGCTCAATTGATCTCCAGCTAAAGCAACTCTTCTTGAAAATGGACAGAGAAGAAGATCCTGCTCCTTTCCAATGCAATTGGTTCTACTGCTGAACTAGACTATTGTTAAAAAGTTTCTTCTAATGATCCCTGAGCAACAAAAATAACAAACGAACAGGCTGTTAAATGAGAAATGATGGGACAATTTTGTGATCCTACTCTGTCAAGTTTATCCAGTGAGTTTCCATGGCCAGTTGGGGATTTGAACCTGTAATTTGAGAGTCCTAGTCCACTATCCAAACCATTACACCATGTTAGCCCTCTCAATAAAATATTACTAATGAGAATGTCCTCAGGTAAGTAAGGTTTTGCTCTTTCATGGGCATTACTTCTCTAAGCAGACTTAAAAGTATTTGGAAAAGTTGCTTTGTTGGATGAAAAGTGCTAGATTCTTCCAGCTGGTGATCATTCCAAAATGGGAATTGTAGTTCAATTTTAGGGTTTATTAAACTATCATGGAAATTCAGGATATTCATTGCACACTCCTTCCTAGGTTGCTTAATTTCTTTCTGTCCAAAGCTGTGGAAAGTAAGAGCTGTTTTCTGAGCAGCCTATCTATGTCGTGAAACACTTCTCGAGTGCTCATTTACAGTTATAATTTCTTGGACTTTCATCCCTAAAGGTTTTTCCTCGAATCCGACCACCTGCCCAAGAATCTTGGCCCAAAAACCTTTCCTAGAATCCAGAAAGGGTTTCCTTGAATCTGCTCTCTTCTACACCTAAGCATCTTTGCTTTCTCTTTTTTGATAGAAGGAGCAGGTGAAAATTACTTGACTTTTAAAGGCCCATTTAGTTTTCAAGTCTGCCTCCTCTGCTTTTTCACTATAGGGGTTATTATTAGGAAAAAGAAAGTGCAAATTAAGGTATTATCTAACTTCTCAGTATGGTGTAAAATGACAGAGAAGATTGAAAAAGGTTTAACTTCCCACCTTGAACTGAGATTTCATCTCCTGCCTTGCACGGATGACTGTGTCTTGCATTTTTATAGATCAGCCAGTGCTGTGTTCAATGGCTTTCCATTGTGACCACAGATGGATGCTTTTAGCTTATTCTTTTTAATATAAACCCTTAACTGGTTTAGCATCCCTTGCAACCTACGTAAATGGCTTCTTAAATATCCTTCAAGAGGCTATGCTGACGCTGGCTTCCAAAGGCGAATGTTCCCTCCGGGGTGAGGAAGAATGTCAGCTCTTCTTTATTCCATTCCATAAATTTCAGGCTATGTAGACCATACAGGTAATTCAATTAGCTAATTTCTTTCTCATTCTCTCTAGTTCAAACCAGGAAAGGTAATTTAAATTGCAGAAACCTAAGACTGAATCATCTAAATCCCTAGAGTTGGACAAGCTGAAGGAGTATATGGATATATCCTGCAAGGACATTTTTTTTCGGATCACAAAATGCAACCTTTCGTTTTCTTAGCCTTAGATAAACAGAGGCATATTGCAAATAAAGTTGGGTTCATTTACAGGCTTATTGGCTAGGTCACCTCAAAGCTTATTACTGGAAAAGGGGGAATAATAATAATAATAATAATAATAATAATAATAGCAATAATTGTACATATTAATGTAGGTGAAATGCTCCCATCCATTCTTAAGAAACAACTTCTGATTTTTTTTAAAGTTTCAAGTAGCCTTGTATCTTTTCTAACAATTTTGCAGATCGTGGCTATCTCCCCAACACTTTTTAACCATGGTTCCAAATAAATTCTACACTGTGGTTTGGAATGAGGAACTTGCCAACTGGCAGAAACATAGAGGTGGGATACAAACTACATAACAATATACTCTTGTCCTTTGGTAATGATGAATTTTCAAAGTACTCAAGCATGATTACTGTAATTCAATCAGAAGACACCATACATTATCTTGTCTAGTAATAATGTTGTCTAGAATAGAATTTGTGGCTTTTCAAGGTAAAGTTCAACCCCTGTATCCAAAGAGGACTGGAACCTGTGGTTTCACATTTATCCACGCCGAATGAATTTCTCCTCTCTATGAACTTTCTAGGTCCTCCAGCATGCCTGTATGGTTTTGTGTATTGACACATAGTCCAGGAACATGTCAACCCTAGATATGGGGCCATATTGTAAACTGACAGCCAGTGGTTAAAAGGACAGCTTTTGTAATTCACTAACAAGATATCAACCTGGTAGATAGGATCTTCAATACACAATCATAAGTGTCAATAAATGGAATGAGAACTTACTGCATCCAAACATTTATTCATTTTTGATATGTATCTTCATGCTGACTCCAAGTTCTAGTGACCCTATCATAGGATTTTCATGGCAAGATGTTCAAAGGTTTGCTCCTGCCTTCTTCTAAGGCTGAGTGTTTGACCTTCTTGACATTATGCAGTGACTTGCCCAAAATTTCCATGGTTGAGCTGGGGATCTGAATATTGGGCTCCTAGGCTCCCAATCCCATATTCATAGCTCGACATCAAAACAGTTCATGCACACAAACAAATCCACACATGAGCACAGTCTTTGTGTATTCCTCTTAAATGCAATACAAGCAATTCACACAGGATTGTACTATTATTCAAATCTGCAGCACATACACACATTCTTACCTGGCTTAGGATCCGGCCACATTTCTTGCCTATCTTGTCTACCAAATCAAAGATTGGGAAATTCCAATTATTTAGTTGATCCATAAGAGGGTCCAAATTGTCCATAATGAGAGGCTCTGGGGCAAGAATAGGTTTTTCCTGCATCAAAAACCAACAGATATTTCCAGCATTATACAAATACTGCAAAGCATTGGCAAACTAACTTATGAATTGCCCATGACATCATTATTAACCCATTGTAAACTGATTTCATTCTTGTTTCCTACTTTGCTTGTGACAGATTTAAAGAGGTATAGCTAGATATTTGAAGTGAGAGGGAAAGTTTACAATGTATGTGAGATTTGAGAAAGCTGCTTTCTCCAAGAGAACAGAAACTAAATGAATTACAGCTTTAAATAAGGGATGTTTGCCAAAAAGAAAAGTGTGGTCAAAAATATCAGCCAAACTCTTAAAATTCTCCTTAGACAAGCCAACTTTTAAATCTTTATCATTGGGCTTGAACTACTAAAACATGTCCAGAAGAAGAGATACCAGTATCTCTAGTATCCAGTAAAGAAAGAGTTGTAGGTAATGAGCAGAAATATGGTATTTGAGCAAACCCAGAAACTTTGCTGAGTTAAAAGTGAAGGACAGCAGATAACATTAGGCTAGGGAGAGTTACATTTTTTTTTGCTACTGCTGCTGTTTTCAAGTGAATTTAAACTGAATTGAAACTTGGGGCCACAGCAGCCGGGTTCTATCCCCAAACTGTTATCTTGGATTACTTTCCCACTTCTGAAGATCAGCATTTATGAATTAAATGTGGATATTTATGAGCTTAATTTAGGCAACTAAAAGAGGGAAAACCATTTGGGCTGAAGTGAGGACTGATGTCCTCCCTTTCCCTGAAATTCCCTCAAACTGGCTAGGCGACATCAAGGGACATGACCACAGTCCCTGATGTTATTGAGTCTCAATAAAATACTGGGGGGAAATGTTTCCTCTTGGCACTTGAGCCAGGAATGAGGCTTCACTGCTGCTTTACCTTTCCCATGAGAAGAAAGAGAAGGGAGACCCAGACAGCCCTGTGAAATGCCAGGTAACAATGTAAAAGAACCTCCCTGCTTTTAAAAAATCCCTTCTTATGTGGTTGTCAGGGAGGAGGAGTTGGACCTTCAGTACGCTGGATCAGCCCTTTGGACCAATCTGCCTCTTTCTTCTGATGATTGGTAGTAACTATTTTCTTTCCCCTACTTTTAGAAATTGTTTTAATTGGAGGTGTCAGGAAGTGATTTTTCACCTATGAAGGATGTGATCTACTAATGAGTTGTAATATTTTTTAGAAAAGGAAAAGATGTTTTTACAAACTGTAGTCGTTCTCAAATTTTCAGGTACAGATGGGACACAGTTATGTTGAAGAGTGAATGAAGTACCTCAGGCGGTAACAGGGGATGCAATATGATCGTCTCTGGAGTATATGTTCTGCAGTTAGAGTCCATCTGTGCCTGCTCCTTAGAGCAATCTGTCTCATCGTCATTTTGCACAATATCACTGCTGTCGCTGTTGTTTGTTTCATAGTCAGAGGTGGCTTGGGCTGGATCATCTGAAACGGAGGCCAGTTAATGCTGTTACCATTGAGCAGATGACAAAACCAACTGCACCAAACAGTCAAGAACTGGATCTTGTGTTACACTGCGCCTGCTAGATTTTGAATCTATCCAACATACACACATATATTATGGTGAGTTTCTAAACAGAAACAGAGAGGTCACATAGCAAATCACACATGCTCCTCCTGGTCATAATGGATAATGTTATAGCTTGCAAACTATAAATACTTTATAATTCCAACTATCACGCAACATCTTTTAGTTCATAGATTATGTCTTGTTTGTATGTACTGTGTTTTAGCTGTGTTGTGGATATGTTGTAAAAATTATGTTGACACTGTTATCTGTATATGATGATGTTTTGTATTTCTGGCCTGTGACCAAAATAAATTGACCTAACTAACACAGGCTCCCACTGCTTGGTTTCGGCTGTTAACTCAAGATCCAGCAGTTTACCTCAGCATTTCCTTATCAGTTAATGCTGATCTTTAATTAATGGTTGTATGGGTTCCAGTGATGTATTATTTTATTCTTTTTAATTTGGATTTCTTTTAAATGAAAAATGTATATAAATGCTTGGCAATCCATTCATCCATCAATCAGAAAGAAAACCAGCATAATAAGATCTCTTGAAACTGCTTGCTCTGAATCTAATTTGACTGGAAGAAGCTCTCTTGGACTTCAGAACATAATCCTTTCCAGTTCTATCTAGGAATTTCAGGGGTTGAATTTTGGATCTTTTGCATGAACTCACCTTTGGTCCCTGCCTTCAGTTAATTCATGAAGTAGTTCCAAAATGTAACATTTGAACATGGAAACACACAAAACTTAAGAGCATGGCTACATTTAAAAAGACTATATGTGTACAACAGGTTCTGCACACCGAAAGTTCTGAATGTTCTTCCTAGAAATGGAAAACTGTGGATTGCCTATTTGTAGTCAACCCTCAACATCCACAGATTTTGTATCAATGGATGAAACCACTGGCTTCAAAGTACACACAATTTTATCCTCACAAAGAAGATGTTTTCGCTTACCTGTTCTGTTCAAGGTGTGTGCTGTTCCATCACTTCTGTCTAATGTTCCCTCCCCAGGATCTATTTGGTTATATGGCCTGCCACAGCTGAAAAATAGCACAAATGAAAAAAAATGTAAAATCTGTAAAAGGTATACAGTGTTTAATTAACCTTGCTACTGTCACCATTTGTTTATCAATTCCTCCACCTATTTATCCATCTACAGCAGTTAGCTGTCCAAACTCTTTTTTTAAAGACACCCAGAAAAAAATGATCTCTCTAAGCAACTGCTTTCATGGGGTAGCACATCTCCAGAGAGCAGGAAATGTTTTCTGATCATTTCTGGTTGTATTTTGGTGACAAAGAATTTGAGGGGTTTGAGAGCAGTTTGGGCTATATTGGGGCAACCTCCCCTTCAACTGATCTTTTGGAGATGACCTTCTGTGGGGTCTGGGATGTTGTGTGCAGGTTTGATGTTGTGGTCTACAGTCTGCACTTTTACCATCCTTGGCTTAATCTTGAATTATAAAATTACTGGAGGTGTTGAATATGATTATGCAATTATTTTCCTGATGTTGCTGCAGCCCATTTAGAACATGGTCTTTACATAAGAAAGTGGTGTACAAGTAAATTGATGACAATGGTATTTAAACCAGTGACGCTGATTGAAAAACGCAATGTTTTTACAGGTTGTTTACAACTCATCAGCTGACACTGATGATACACTTGATCAGAACTTCTCACACACTCTCTTGCAAAAAGACATATTTGCACATTATACATATTTAACCAAACATTAGACTTTTAACACATTTAACTGGATTGTAATCGGCACAATATCAATCACTTTTACTGGAAAATTGCATAAATATCTGGAACTGTACTGAATCCATTAGACATATTTCATTTCAACAGAAGTCATTTTGGAGAAATTCATTCAAGATGTGAACTGTCAAAGAGAGCTCTGAAGAACGATGAATGCTTGAAATATTGCATGATTATTCTGTAAAACCCTGACACAGAGGTTGCATGCCACATCCGTGTTTTTCTGCTTCTGCTAAATATCCCTTACATTCTTCAAATCTTTGTTGTACTTTAAAAATTATATGTGGGTTTTCAATACATTTTAAATGTTTGCTTAATTGTTTCATATGGGTTGAGTAATGAACACTTGTATAATAAATATTTTATTTATAATATTACTGCTATTTCTGCATGAAGTAAGATTCTCATAACCATGGAATACATATCCAGTTTCACTTACCCATACCTGGAGAAAAATGGTCTCTGTTGAAACTTGCTATGTCCTCCAAGTGATTCTAAGGTAGGCTTCCTTGGAAATTACTATAGAGTCTCACTGGAGGCTCTATAGTAAAATTATAGTATACTGCAAATTCCTAAATAGGACGCCTCTCTACGGATTTCTATAGTATGCTGGGACCAGATGTCAGGTAATTTAATACTTATTTGGTCACATGCATGGTTTCATGTAACTGCAGTCTGGCTGGGAATGTATTCCCTTCAGATATGGGGGCCTTACTGGAATTTTTAATCTGTACTGTTTTTAAATTGTAAGCCACAATGAGTCCCATTTGGTGTGTAAGTCTGGATATAAATGAATAGCATCACCATCACCAGAATACGTGGATTTTTGGCTGTATACTGTAGCAACTAGAAGTGACACCATGTTCCTTTTGGTTGTCATATTGCCCTATATATGGTTGAATACAAATGCGCAGATGTGGCCTATAGCTGGGTGTGCATGTGTGTGTGTACATAAAAATTGGCCCCACCATGAAATGTCATTTTTTGTTCAGAATGCCAAGATTGAAAAGCATGTGCCATTCACTCAATATGTTTATGCCTTTGCTTTCCCCCAGCGAATGATGTCCATAGCTCTCTTCCTTTCTCACCACAGACCACCAAAATATATGTCATAAACTTAGCGACTTCCAAAGTCCAATACTTTAACCTTTATGTCATGTTGGTACTGACAATGGAAACTTCTGCATCTAAGCCAAATTCTCTCTCTGGAAATGTGAACTACAGCTTTATATCATGAACTAATGCACATGCTATGACACAAGCAGCTGCTCTTGTAAACCAAACTGGCATCTTACCTGCTGCAGATGACAGGGGAGGGGGGGACAGGCTCTGCTATTGCAGGCGCGCTCTGAGTGCACCCTAAAACCTTGTGGGACTTGATGGTCTGCTTAGAGGCAGTGACGGTTGATTCTGGGAATTGTTCATTGGAGGTCTTGCTCGTGGGACTGTTGGCTGGAGTACCGTGGATGGGAGAATGGCTTGGGGAAGTGAGAGGTGAAATATTTGGTGGGATGCCTATGAGGAGAAAAAGAAAGAACTATATGTTGAAGTCAAGATGACTACTGAATCACAGAGCTGGAAGGCAACATAGAGACTATCCAGTCTAAGGGTGGATGTTGTGTGGTTATATGCCATATGCTGGATTGCAATTCTCATTAGCCATACTCTACTGCAGTCTAACAACGCCTAAACGGCCACAAGTGATCCACCTTGGATTAAGCATGCCCCATTACTTCAGGAGTGGCAAAGAACAGCCCTCAGACTACATGTGGCTCCCAAGGCTCTTCTTTCAGAATTATAGACTGCTATCAAGTCTGCAAAATTCCTGAAACCACCCTTTTCCTGACCTCTCACCTCCAGCCCTGAAAAATAAACTGCCTCTCTTCTGCTTAGCCCGCAATAGTGTTGATTTAGCTTTTTAAAGGATGTGGCCCTTCCCTGTTCTGTTTCTCATTAAGCAATAAAAACAAACACTTGTTTCTGAAAGCCACAATGAAAGTTTGTCCACTTCTGGATTTAGTTTGTGTTTCCCTCCAGTTTTTATGGAGTTTTTAATGTGGAAACTGTGGAAGATCCCAAGAACTGAAAGTAGGCTCATTGACCTAGTGCAGTTGCACAGCCCTATACTATCTAATATAGGTTATGCAACACCTTGTGTAGCTACAACTTCCCTTGACAGGTAGCTACTCAGTCTCTGCTTTCATAATGTAAGGGAAGGAGAATTCATCTTCTCCCACGGTAGCCGGATGCAAACTGTTCAAAACATCCCTCAATTCAGACAATTCCCTGAATATTTGCTCACAGACTACTTGATTGCACTCTTGGCCCTTCACATTTGCAGGTTTGAAATTTGTGGATTTGTTTAATCATGGATTTTATTAAAATAATCTCTCTAGAAATCTTACGGTCCTCCAGAGAGATTCTATACTCAGCTACCAGCAGAAGTTGATAATAGAATTCTACTGAAGGACTTCAAAATTTCTAAAGAGGTTTTGTCTCAGGTAAAACTAAAGCATTTTTAATACATGTTCTTTATTGAGATCTATATAATACCAACAGACAACAAACATGTTAATAATAGTAACTTTTATTTGCAGTTTTCTTTTTTCTTTCAAAGGAGTTCTGTGTCACCTAGCAAGGCAACACAGTGGAGGACTGACTGCAATTTCTACTGGTAATTCTTCCAGTATAGGCTGGAGTGCCACTTAAACTGATTGGCAAAAACAGTCACAGCTTTAGTTGTACTTCAGCTTTCACTCACTCATTCCTTAACTATCTTTATTTGCACTCAAAATGTGATAAGAAAAAACATACAATAAAATACCTGAATATCATAGCATGTATAGTTAATACATTTGTTAAAAATAGTTGTTACATTAAATATATTTAGCTTCCCACCAGGATGTTTACATTGAAGATGAATTTGTGATTGACCGATCCCTTAGGAAACAGGATAGAGCACATGCTTTAAATGCAAAAGGTCCCAAGATTCACTCCCCAGCATCTTCAAATAAAAAGGAGCAGATTGTAGTTGATGGGAAAATCCTGCCCTGAGACACCAAGCTTGGAAAATTACAACACCCAGAATCCCACAGGGAGCATGTCTAATGGCTAGGTTGACTGGGTATTTTGGATAATCCAAAAGTATCTGTTTTCTAAGATCTAGCAAGACGTTGGGTGGCCAGTGCCAGTTAGAAAAGACAGTATTAAGCAAGATGGATAAATAGCGTGGCACAAGGCAGTTTCCCATTATTCCTGGCAGCAGTTTTAACATATTCTGAATTTGGGAAATCTCATCTTTGTCAATAAGTTTTTTGGGGAACCTCCTGAGTATCAGACATGGGATTTCTGGGCTTTGTACAAAAAAATGGGGAATATGGTCCAGTCTTCACACTCACTGTATATCAACTCTGCCTATTGAAATTCACTGCTGTTTTGTATGAACTTAAATGGAACACATTCATTGTATATCACACTCAGGATCCATCCTGAAAACCCTGCTTTGTCCTGAATTAATTTGATACTCCATTAGACCGGGGTCTTCCTGAAAGATTAGGGTCCAAAGAAGTATGGACCCTATGTGAACTGACCCCTGGACACAGTCCTGGGAGTACCGAAGGGTCAGTTCGCACAGCTGAATTTGCACCTTCAGGCCCCATGAGCCTGGAGAAGCAAAGAGGGAACCCATCCCCTTCCCAAATCCCCTCTAAAATATTTTAAAAATAAAAGAAATACGTATCAAGCTGCCATTAGGCCCTTCTATATGGTTTTTGGAACATACCAATGTAGTGTCAACCCCCCCCCCCCAACACTACATTGGTACATTCAAAACCATGGCAAAAGGCCTAATGGTGGCCCAGTAAATACTTCGTTTATTTTAAAGTTTTTTGGGGGGGGGGTGTGATTCGTCCTCATTGCAGCGCAGTTGTTACCGCAGTATAATAGGGAAAATGCATGGGAAAGCCTGCTTCTTTTGGGTGCCCATGCAGACAACAACACTGGAGAATATGGGTTTTCCCTGTTTTCCCTCATGACAAATTGCTGTCTGGAAGTGACCACATTTGGAACAAAACAATGCTGTCCTATAGTAGGGACATCTGGATTCATATCACCTATTCTCATTGGCACTGATGATTTCCATGGCCACAGGCAGAGGTCCTTTTTGGTCCTATTTTCCAAAATCATTTTAACTTTCAGTGCCAAGAGTTGTATTTGGAAGCTTTTGTATGTTAAGCACATATTTGATCACTGGCTTCTCTCTTTGCAACAGTGGATTCAAAGGCCACATGCTCCACCCATCAGATAGCTGAAGGCAATACTTCTATTTCCCCCTTGGGAACATACATTCTACTTCATAGTTACATAATTTAGAAAATGCTCATGCAATAAGAACACCGTTTATATCATGTTTGGGGACAAAGCCAGGTGGCTTAAGATAGTAGAATTTCCCTCTTTTTATGATAACCAAAACCACCCTGGACAAAGATCCCAGAAACCCCTCTCAAAAATTAATTTGAGGGACAGATCAAAAAAGTGCCTCCAAATCATCTACAACTTATGTGCCAATTTAAACTTGTCTGAAGTCACAACATGTCAATACAGCCAAGAGTGGATCACCTTGTCGGTTAGGCCTTTTGGAGTTCAGATGGTTGGCAGCAGACATTGCATAGGAGGCAGAAAAAGACCTGCTTTTGGTGATTGACATCAGGAGGGGGTTGTTCCAAGAATCAGAGCTGTGGAAACAAAGCAAACATTGAGACAACTGCCCTTTCTGCTTAACCAGATAAAGTGCTAGCATAAAGAGAGATGCTCACAGGCCACAGAAAACAAAACCCTGTTAGGTTAGCCAAACGACAATCCAGTCCAGAATCCACCATCACCAATGAGATATCCATGGAACGTTCAGAAATAGGGTGTAACGGCAACAGCTTCTCAGCAATGGCATTCACAGGCATACTGTCTTTGAACCTAGAGCCCTTTCACACTGCACAATTATAACACTATATGTCACTTTAACATATCTGCTGTGTCAGCATCCTATAGACTCCTGGAATATGCTCTAGTGGCATCAGTCATCTCGGCATTTTTTCTTACACCGATTGTAAGAACAGGGCTACTGTTGGTTCAAAGAACTGTGTCTCTACTAAGGACTTTATTTGGTTCTTATACTTTGTTAGAGCAATATCTGAGTTGCTCAGTTTAGGTCCTACTTCCAACTGGTTTCTGCTCTCTTCCCAAGTCCCTTCGTGTCTCTCTAGGTTCTCTACAGGGTCACCTTCCTGACTCTTCAAATATCTTTCTTGTTTTGAGAATATTGTTTTGTTACCAAAATATTCACCATGTTTGAACCCATTCAGAGGAAGAAACATAACATTTTTCATATACAGCTCATTGCTGGCTGGAGGTTGTAAGAATTGCAATTTTTAAAAATAACATTTTCGAATGGTAAAAATGTTTAATCTTTGCATATTGTTCTAAAGATGGGTGAATAATTCACAGCTTATGGTTCATCTCACTTCCTACTAAATACAGAATGTTCATGTCCACACGATAAATTGTTATATACCAATTTTCTATAATGGTGGTGAAATCCAAATAAGGACAAGATGTTTGCTCCCTAGCGTCTTGTTATTAAAGGGGTGAGGTGGGAGTGTCACCATTACCACATTACTGGGTTTCAAATCTATAGAAGTGGGGTGAGGCCAACTATGGGTTAAGTAGGTCCAGTGTATCCCATATATCAATTCTCAGAAAGTTGCCCATTACCATTTTTAAATTTCTTTTTTACTAAAAAGAACCAAAGAGAAATTCCTTATGTTAAAAAGAAACACCCCTAAACAATTTTCCTACCTGGATGATGACGTATCATGAAGTTTGATGCTAGCACTACGGTCTCTTCTCACTGGTGCTGGCTCCAAAGTGGGTAAACCAGTGGCAGATGTGGTTGTTGTCCAAGTAGATGACACTCGGCGTAGAAGGCCTGGTGGCAGATTTTTCCGGATGCGCTAGATGGGAGAAGATTAGAATATTATCTAATATTTCACTTGAGGACTCAAAACATTACTAGCATTCAATGCTGGACTACTTTGCAAAGGGGGAGAGAAGAATGATTTTACATTGTGGCTTGAGTCCAGTTCAAGGATTTTGCATAAAATCCTTTTATTGGAAACTACTGAAATGCACAACTGAGTGAAAAATAAACATTGACTCTTTCTCACTCAAAGGTCATTGCAATATTTTTCACCTTTCCACTAATGAACAGGAGCACCTTTCAGGTGACTCTGAAGCACTTCTAGGAAAATACAAATTAATATCTAATTCATATGCAATTAACTTGGTCCAATAAACCATGATTTATAAGGTTGGAACTATTACATCTTCATTTAGCCAAGGAATGAGCTTTGTTTTATCTGCTTCCTGCTTGTGTCTATACTCATCCTTTCCTTTAAAGTATCCGTTCTGATGCAGATGGCCTGAAACCTTAAATCACAGTTATCCATAACATCTGAATTCTTAAATTATAGTTTAAGAACTTTCAACAAACAAAGCAAAACCAACAAACAAAACCGTTAAAATACCATAGGTACACAGTTTCAGCTGATTTATTGGACTAGAGCATTATCTCTAAATAGGGACTATTTGGTAGTTGCAGTTTATTGTCATCCCCACCCCACCATTGTATCTTCTTGGATTTAAAATTGTCTCTTTATAATCATACAATCAGTTCTGACCATCATATTTGAACATATTTATTAGGGGAAATACTGCACAAGAGGCAAAAAAAAGTAGTATCTGTTACATTTGATCAACTTAGAAATAAAAAAACATCAAATGAGTGTATTTACTCAATGCAATTTGTCAACAATTGACATTAAATCAAGGAACATTCAGCAATGTAGATGGCTGTCAGATAGGAATTAAATTGTGAATGTCTTCTACATTCCTTACATGATTTCTTAGTTCAAGACTGAGGAATCATACAGGAGGAGGATAGGTGGATATCTATTACTATGAAAATCCAGGAACCAAATGGTGCTGGGGTATAGCCATGCCAAGGAAAAGACACTTACCTTTAGCTTCTCTCCCTTTTCTGAGCATTCCTCTGAGTCAGAGCAGCTATAGTTCTCACTGAAGGATGCCAGTGGGTTCACCCTTGGCTTATGAATAGCTTGGAAAGTTAATTGTGTGTTAAGCAGGTTGCTCACTGCTCTCAAGGAGGTGCAGACATTGGGTGGTAAGGAAGGATCTGCCAGAAGATCTGTAATGAGTCCATGTGCCTCTCCCATGACAGCAATATCAACTGTAATACTGGTGCCTGACGACTGGAATGAGAGATATAGAAAAATATTAGTCCAAAGGTAGGTAGTAACCACAGTAAGAGATCTGTGTACTTTGATGAATATACAGTTTGACACCTGTATCTGTGAGACCAGTGCCTATGGTTTCACTTACCTGCATCTGAAAAAAATATCTTCTGTAGGTATTGCCTAGGTCCTCCAGCATTGCTCTACTGCAGGCCTGCACAACCTGTGGCCCTCCAGATGTTTGGGCCTCCAACTCCCTGAAGCTCTAACCAGCTTGTCCAATGGTTGAGAATTCTGGGAGCTGAAGTCCAAAACACCTGGTGGACCAAAGGTTGTACTAGCCTGTTCTGCTGTTTCTGCTGGAAGTTGAACATAGAATAATTCTGAAGGATCTAACGATGGCTAGGGAGGTGTCCTCTTTAGGCATGTCCTAGGTTTATTTATTTATTTATTTATTTATATACCACATTTATATACCAAGGGATAGAATGATTACTTTTTGCCAATCACACATAAAAGCAGCACATTTCATGTGATTTTATTAAAAAACACAATATGAAACCCATGCCCAAATGCTCTGTTTCTGCCACCTTTTGCATGTGGTTTCCAATGAGTTGACAACAGGGACAAACGTCATGTGATGGGATCTGTTGAAATTTATTTGCAAACAATCTCAGAAATGGACTATTGCTTAATGTGATTTGGTCCAAAGACGTGGTGGGGTTTGGGGTTTATGCAGACCCTGGATGATGGGAATTGCACTACCTACACCTATATCCGGAGACCAAATTACCTAACGCGAGCATCGCTGGGTACCAAAGCTACTTTCATATAAATTTATTTCAAGTAAGGATGTGGAGGAATATTACAAATTCCAAGATACCAGGTGAGATTTGCTATCTGTCCATAGTGAAATGGCACCTAAACAGATTCTAGGGGATTCTCCAACCGCTGTCAGAGAACCTCATTCCCATAACAAGGCCCAAGACAGAATTAATTTCCATTTTATTTTTTGTTTTAAAGAAAATGGTTGTCTTCTGTCGCTGCACAAAATAAATGCTTTTTTTCTTTTGCAAAGCTAAGCACACACAAGTCCAAAAGACAGGCTGAACTAAAAGGCATGAAAAGCCATCCAAAACATTTATTCCAAGTCAAGTCTTGCAAACCAAGCAAAAAAAAAATCCTACCATTCTGGAGCGGCTTGCATAAAGGATAATTTTTTTCTAGTTGTCTGATTTACCACACTCAGAAGAAACAAGCCAACTATACACCCATAGCTAAAATTTCTTTTTTTAAAAAAGCATTAAAGGAAAGGTGTGGTTCTTCTTCTCATGAAATGGACTGACATTTTATTTAGACACTGATTTAAAATGCAATTTCATCAAGTGGGTTCATGTCATCTTTCTCATTTTTCCATTAAAGCACTGAGCAATGCACAGAGGCTGTTTCTACAGTCCCCGTAAATGAAACGGTACATTGAAACACTGATGAATAGTTATATACTATCCAATAATGTGCACCTTCATGTCTGGCATCCCCTTGATTGAAAGGAGATTCCATCTGAACATTAGGAAGAACTTCCTGACTGTGAGAGCTGTTCAGCAGTGGAACTCTCTGCCCCAGAGTGTGGTGGAGGCTTCTTCTTTGGAAGCTGAGGCTGGATGGCCACCTGTAGGGGATGCTTTGAATGCAATTTTCCTGCTTCTCAGCAGGGGGTTGGACTGGATGGCCCATGAGGTCTCTTCCAACTCTATAATTCTATGATTCTATGATTCTAACTAAACTATACCAGTTGAATCAATTGTTGATAGGTGAGTCTACACACAGATAAATCGAACTGATTCAATGTTTCAGTTCTAATAGGCCCATGCAAAAGACCACATACACAATAGAATATATCTGCACAAGAGCACAAAAATGTATAAGCATACACTTGAAAAACTTCCACTGATCTGTATGACAGCAACAGCATTCTAATGATTGACTTAAGGATGTATCATTCCATTTCAATGTAATAGGAGTCTGTCTGTGGAAAATGTAACATGCTGTTGGGTGGCTACGTACATACTGTCCATTCTACTGAGTGTCACAACAGCCGCACGGCTAAAATAATAAGAAAGAGATGAAAAGATGAACTATAGGATATTGACATGCAAGGTGCAAACTGAAGAACAGGCAGGCAGCTGTGCCTGGCTTGTCTTTGGTCCTTACAGAATAACAGGCCAACAATAAGTCATGATTTGATATAGTTTCCAAGTCACATCATGAACTCCCTGGCCAAGAGTCTTAAACAAAATTAAAAGTAAACACAGCTCCCTTCTCTTTTCTCTCTTTCCTCTCCTGTGCCCTTTTAATTTCCAAAAAGCCTTGAGCAGCATATGCCACAGTTTCTCTGGAAATAGCAGTTCATTTTAGACCCTACAGTTAAATCGCAATAGTGTGCTGGTACGTCTGTACCAGGAGCTCCAACTTTATTTTCTTTCTATTAAGTGTTCACATGCATTGCAAAGTTTCGAGGATTCTGCAAAAACGTGGCTTCCTTTGATTTGCAGTCATAGGGCAAGCCACCTGTCTATCATTGTTAAGTTTGGCTCCGTCCCTTCTCCCAGGGAGAGGGGAAGGGAAGAGGGGGCCATTTTTAGTTACCGTATATTCCGGCATATAAGACGACTGGGCGTATAAGACGACCCCCAATTTTTCCAGTTAAAATATAGAGTTAAGACGACTCCCATGCATAAGACTACACCCGCGTATAAGATGACCCCTGAGTTTTGAGAAGATTTTCTTGGGTTAAAAAGTAGTCTTATACGCCAGAATATACTGTAGTCTTAGTGAGGAAAGCTAAGTTAGAGGATGTGGACAAGCTTCACCTGCAGAAAAGCTTCATTTCTCAAGACATTCCGGGGGGAAATTCCCAAAGCTCTGGCTGGGAGCTTGCAGCCTCTCAGCCTTATAGCATCTGAGGGAAACAGCCCTAAAGTCTTAAAGAAATTCCAGAGGGAAAACAGCTTTACAGACCCAAAGAACTCCAGCTGGAGAATCTACAAGCTTTGTCTGGTAGGTTTACTCGGTACCAAGACGCAGTTTGGAATTGGTAGTAGATCTCACACTAACAAAACTTAGATAACAGACAGCCTGGGAGAGGTTAAAAAAGAGTTTTCCTCTCAAAGTATAAGAACAATTAACTAAGACAGTTGCCTGTACCTGGTGGAGGGAGCCACCAGTTGATTTAAAGCCTTGAACATTTGTTTGACTCACTGAAGATTTGAGAAACATCTGTTTAATTTTTTCAATAATAAAGGGCTTTGTTTAACCTTTCAAGCCATCTAAAGACCATTTCTTCCGGAAAATCCTTGAGGGCCTCTTTCGTGGCACCCTGGCTTCCGGCTGGGCACAAGGTGCACGTCCTATTTCAAAAGACAATTATTATAGGCCCAGTGTGTGACAGAATAATAGAGTTTTGAAACCAAAGGGTTTAGCTAATGTGTTTAACACATAGTTGTTTGACACCATTTCCCAAAAGGAATAACAAGGGTTCTGCTGCAAAAATAAAGGTGGTTAGCTTCTTCTTTAAAGTTCCCCTAAAGATGACCTCCAGTTTTGCTCCTCTCACCAAGAGTTTGTATTTGATTGTGGTGATGTATTCAAACTGCTCTAGCCATGTCATGTGAAAACTATCCATTTATTATTTAGTTTTATATTAGAGATTGTAATTCTCATTTCCTAGGAACCTGAGTTAAAACTGGTCCATTTATCCTTCCAGTAATTGCGAGAACAGAAATATTGAAAAGTCAAACACATTGAAGACATCGCTTTCCATCTCCAAACATGGTGAATGCCCCCTAAGCCTAGCAAAGATTTTCTAAAGTGAGATTTTGGACTCACATACTTATAGCTATTGCTGTGTATATGCAGAAGCATCAAGTGTTTCAACTATGCCTCTGCCCATCTCTTAGCCCATTTTTTTTAACTTGCCAGGCTTTAGTTTCTCCATTCACAAATAACACCTGTCTGCCTTAATGCAGAAGCTCAAGGAAAGCCCAGGCCATGTTGCTACCAATTGTATGTACAGAAGCTCACCAGATTGATAGCTGTGTTACTTCAACACTGGTAATGGGCAGTAAATCTGAGAGTGGCAGGCTACGTTAAAGTGAATGTCACCTCAAACTGATATTATGTTCCTTTAATCTCACAACAGTTGCTGCCAAAGTAAATATTCCAACTAATGGAAGGGATGATTCTGGAGGTAGTATTTGGACTGACATATTGTACAGTGGGTTAAAACACTGAGCTGTTAAACTTGTTGGCCGAAAGGTCACAGGTTTGAATCCGGGGAGTGGCATGAGATTCCGTTAGTAGCCCCAGCTTCTGCCAACCTAGCAGTTCAAAAACATGCAAATGTGAGTAGATCAATAGGTACTGCTCCAGCGATAAGGTAACGGTGCTCCATGCAGTCATGCCGGTCACATGACCTTGGAGGTGTCTACGGACAACGCCGGCTCTTTGGCTTAGAAATGGAGAAGAGCGCCAACCCCCAGAGTCGGACACAACTGGACTTAATGTCAGGGGAAAACCATTACCTTTTATTGTAATTTGGATGGGATTTGTTTATTAAACCTCAAAGTGAATTGCTTTATTGTGGCCAGATTCCCCAATAAAGGCTGAATCTACAAAAAATAATTAATGTAATTTAATAACACTTTAACTGTCATGATTCAATGCCACATAATCCTGGGAGTTGTAGTTTTGCAAGATGGTGCTTAAGCAGACTACAGATCCCGGGATTCTTCAGCATTGAGCCATGGCAGTTCAAGTTGTGTTGAACTGCATTGATTCTATAGTGCAGATACATCCTTAGTCTCAACTCTTTTTTTTTGGTTATTTTTGAATGAAATTAATATTTCTCTTTATCTTTCAATTTATCAACCAGTCATCTGTTATTCAAAATATTGCACTTGTAATTTGCCCTATATTGAAATGAAAGAGTTTAGAAATTTCATTTGGTGTGAGAAATGTTG